ATTAAATTAATTCACGGAAAATTGCCAAAATATAAGAATTCGGTATATGTTGCTTCTAGATTATGGCCCATTCACGATGAGCGGACATGGCGTCATTTTTTCCGGATCGCTACAAATGAGTATGAGGAGTTTCACATTTACGTGGAAGCTTCAGCGACCCCCCCACAAAATTTGACGTTCCACGGAACTCCCGGAGAGGAAGGCCCATCATCAATATATGGTCGGAGGAACAACCGCCAAACGTTTCAGAACTACGAATCTCCCGGTATGTATTGTTCAAGTTAAGTAGAATTTACAATGATTTGATTTTATTTGTTGTCATTTTAAGAGTGTAGAAGTAGTTAATTTAGTAATTCCTAAAGTTTTTAATTAGATTGTTAAATTGGAATTTTAGAGTTAATGAGTATATATCACTGATTTTAGTAATATATGTATTAGTTAGTGTATTATATACTTAGGCTATCATACAAGTATATACTATTTGTAGTATAATATATTAAATAATACTAATATTATGCATAATTAGGCTAATTAATTACTCTATAATTTAATATCTTATAATAATATTACGCTATTAAATAATGAATTTTAGAGTTAAATTTAGCTATTAAATACTTGAAAGTTAGAAAGAGTGTTAAATTTAGAATTGGCCTTAAATTTTGGTTTTAGGAGTGTAGACGTAGTTCATTTAGTAATTTGTAAATGTTTTAATTTAGATTGTTAAATTGGAATTTTAGAGTTAAATTTTGCTATAAATTACTTCAAAGTTAGAAAGTGTGTTACATTTAGGATTTGCCTTAAATTTCGGTTTTAGGAGTATAGAAGTAGTTAATTTAGTAATTTGTAATTTGTTTTAATTTTGATTTGTGAAATTGGAATTTTAATTTAGTGTATATTATACTTAATATATCTTTGTAATTCAGATACAAATATTATCGAATTTTAACAGATAATCAAATAAATTTTATCTGATAAATTTTATCTGATTATATTTCCTTTATATTTCTCGCATCTACCGCATCTAGCTACCAAATTCATTATTTCCTTTATCTTTATGTGTGACTTTGTTATCTGTTGCAGTAGAAGTGGAGTCCAACTGCATTTAATCCAATTTCACGAAAACATACATAGATTTTAAATGGAAATAAAAAATGAATTTTCATGGTGTCGGAATTCTCAAATCTGACAGGGGTTTTTTATAGAAATTTTTATATGCCTATTTTAACTGCTGTCGAATTAAAATGTAAAAAAAAAAACTTCCAGTCGGATAGAGCAATTCTGACAAGGGGGTGTTTTTTTAGAATTATTTTGTTTTATTTTAAAAAACTATATAAATTAAATTTTATATACTTACATTGTTATTGTAAGAAATTTTGTATTCCTATTTTAACTGCTGCGGAATTAAAATGTAAAAAAAAAAAACTTCCAGTCAGATAGAGTTCCCTGACACGAGTGGGGCAAGAATACGATTGTACTTTTTGGAGGTCTTACAGGGTGACTTGGCTTTAGCCCGTCGATGGAGTTGGGGATTAGCGGTTCTCGGGTACCTCTACCATAACTTGTGCAACGGCGCCAAGTGGGAAACCAAACAAGTTGGCGGCTGTATGCATTTGTTACAGATTTGGGCTTGGTCTAGGATTTCGATGGTCCGTCCCTCAGTACTTCAGGTCATTCAACATGACCATCTTCCATATGGGTGCAGGTATGTTGGCAATTACATCTTAATAATTGAGAATGCTTTATATGACGTTACATTTTTTAACTTCATATCGGTAATCAATAAATGTAGGTGGATCGTCCCCAAGTCATATAAGGGATCCCCAAGACATTGCATACGCTTGTACCGGGATGACCTAGACCGCATGAGTGAGAGTCAGGTAGTACTTGAAATTTTTACTTCAACCGTACTATTCAATTTTCAATACACATTGTTTTATAGTTTTTAAATAGCAAATTAAACTTTTTACAGTTTGATTTCACTCCCTACGCGTCCGAGATACTCCCACCTCACATCCTTAATGACGCTCCGATTTGGTCGGCTAGGGTCATGCTCATATTTTGCAATATGGCCGAAATGCATTACCCCGATCGATTTCTTCGGCAGTTCTATATAAGGCAAGATATTCCGAATGCTCCTTTGACGGGTAGTGATAATCACGACAATCGTTCCGACATAGTAACCGGTGCCTTGGCGATGTGGGCGGACATACAACATAATATATACGTTCTTGATTATGATCGACATATGTCCCTCGAAGCAACTAATAGGTACCGAAACTGGTATAAGAAGCATGGTATGACACGTGTCCAGAACCCTTCTCACAATGTGCCCACGACAGGTTACACCCCAACAGCACACAATTGGGGTATTGTGGTAAGTTTTTGAATACATACCATATTCATTAACATATATCGTGTCATATTATTTACACGTGTTACATTTTAATGCAGAAGCAAGGCGTTCACGAGGTGTATCAGCTCTAAGCCGACCGCGCGAGTCATGAGGACTGTCAAAAACGACTACGGCAGATGGCCCTGGACGTAGGTGATGAAGAGATGCTCCATCGGGGCATATTCCATTATGAAGATAAAGATGAAGGTGGAAGTGATGAAGAGGATGATGCAGATGAACATGAAGGTGGGGGTGAGGACTCACAATCGCCCCCTCAATTCTCAACACAGGGTGTCTCATTTCATCAACCACCCCCTCAATTCTCAACGCATCAAGGTGTCTCATTTGATGAACCACCGCCGTATTATGATTCTTATCAGTGCTCCACACAAGCGGATGATTATGTTGAGTCATTTCTCAATTCGTCGTTTTAGTATGGAGACACAATGGGGCCTTGGAACACTGGCGGTGGGGACGGAGCAGGGCCGAGCTCGCAACATTAAATGTAGTATTAAATTTAATATTGTATGTAGTGTCTATTCATTAATAAATTACATTGAAAACTACATTTGTTTTGTTCACTTCCATTAAAATTACAAAAATTGCACTTAAAACAAAATCAAATTTGTATCTAATTTGACGAATGGATTAAATCAAAATTGCACTTAAAATTACAAAAATTGCAATTAAAACAAAATTGGCAATACAAATGGATTAAAAAACACTATAAAGCAATCAAATGTTTTGTTACTCAAAAAATCAAAATGCTAAGTTTTCATTTTAAAAAATATGTCAGGAATCTAAAAAAACTTTTAAATTTGGAATGGATAGAATTTAGCCCTACAACTATTAGTTTTTAAAACTCAAAATAAAAAACTTAAGAATTCCGCAAAAAAACAAAAATTTAAATCCTAGTCGGAATTGGGTAATCCGACCAGGGGAATGGGTAGTTTTTTTCGAAACCCTAAATCCTAGTCGGAATTGGGAGTTCCGAAACCCGTTTTTTGGTAAAACCTAGAAAAATCCCCGTGTTTTGACAACCTCAACCCATTTTTCCCGTTTTTTGGTAAATCACCCAAGACTATTTGTGTTCTAGGGATAATCCAGTTGGGCGTGCAACACATTATAACATGGTAGCATCCAATCACTTATTCCTCACTTTCCCTTCATCTTCTCTGGTTCTCACGATCTTGTTGCTCTCCGAAAAATTCAAGACTTATACTCTAAACATAGTAAGTCGAAGTTTGTAAGTATGAATAAGCTCGATGATGCAATTTTTTGTACCGTCACATGGTTAGCTATGAGAGGGAGAGGATTTGTGTAAACGAGAAACCAGATTCCTCTCGTCTCTTCAAGCTTAATTCTATTCGGTGGTTGTATTTAGAAATTAAGGTTTGCAGGAAGTCTGTCACCACAAATTTCATGGGATTGCAGAGAGAGTTGAGGTCATTGTTAAATCAAACCTTCAAGGAAATTAACTAGCTAATTACTCCGTAACTTGCAATTTCCGAACGACTAAAATGCAAAGATGCACAATTTTGATACTACGATGACTTGGATGTCGAGTTGACAACATGTCATCATTTGATTGGAGTAAAATCGAATGTACCGGTACCTTCTATTTTTAATGATGCACCAGGGGTGGGCAAAAATACCAAACCGGCATGATACCGAACCGGACCGGTATGGTACCGGACCGATAAACGGGGTTTGAAACGGATCTCAAATTTTTTTTGTCCCGAACCGGTTCCAAACAATGCCATGACCGGTTCTCATAAAATGAGAACAGGTACCGGACCGAACCGGACCGAAGTATGGTTTATTAAATTTGTACTACTATAGTTTATCTAAAATATACTACGTATTAATTACCTCATCCGTCCCAAATTGATTTACAAAGCCAACATTTTTTGTCAAAGTTAATGTTAAGTTCTTGATAATTAATACAAATTTTAATAATTAAAATTTACATGTTTAGAAACCACATTAAAATCTCTCTAAAGTTGCAAAATCAAAATTAAAATATACGAAGTACGGAGTAGTTTTTTTTGAAAGGCCAAATTAGAATATAATTAAAAAGTGAAATTCTAATTAAGTGAATAAAAAGAAATTGTTTGACCAAAAAAGATTGACTTTGCAAATCGATTTGGAACGAAGGTAGTATGATATATGAAAATTGATAAATTGTGTGGATATTTTGGAGGATGGCTAATTTTTTTTTCTTCTTAAACACTTGGAAAAAGTGGCATTGTTTGGTATTGATATGGCATGGTATCGTCCCGTTTGAAAATGGACCGTACCGAACGGGTTTGAGTCTAAGACCGAACCGTACCGAACCGTTTCAATAGTAACGGTACGGGTACGGGTTCGGCCAAATATTGGACCGGATCGGACCGTGCCGACCCCTATGATGCACCATAGAATTTTCCTTTTCCCGTATCCCTTTTCTTTTCCGAACCCCGTTTTTTAATTTCGCAAATCATTGTTTTAAGAAAACACCCCTTAGTTTGAGTGTTTGACCAATTTTTTCTCCACTTAACACCAAGTTAGGAACCCTAGAATATATATACTGCTATTTAAGCTCTTAGCCTGGTCTCCCGATCAATTGCCGCTAACAAATAGATACAAGAACTGTACGTTCAAAACAAAACAAAGAAAGATATGAGAGCTGCTAGTTTTCTAAACAAAAAGTTACCCATTTTATCTTTTCTATTTAAAAACCGCCCCATATCATCTCCGGTGGAGACGGTGGAGTTCCCCCTTAACGTTGCTCTGCGTGAATTGCAAAAGTCATGTGAAAACGAATCTCCGGCGAACCTGACGATATCGCCGTTCGGTATCTCAGTAATACTCCACATGATTGCCCACGGCGCAGCAGGGCCTACCTTAGATCAACTCCTTCACTTTCTCAACGTAGAAAAGATTGAAGATTTGGATTCAAAGGCCCCAAAGCTAATGCAGATCGCCAAATCTTCCGGCAATCATGGATCGAATGACGGTCCAGTAATCTGCAATTTTAATGCCGTTCTTGCGAATAAAAAATGTACTCTCAAGGAAAGTCACAAAGAATTTCTGGAAAATATGTACCATGCTAAAGTCAAGTACGTCGATTTTTCTCGCGGGGTATGTCCGTATGTGACCATTAATTAAGCTACGGTAGTGATAGACTGATGAACCTTCCTTTTAGGCAAATTAAAACGTATAGACGGCGTTTTATTGAGATTATCCTTCATTAGGGTCTGCTTGAGAATATGTTTTCAACTGCTTGAATGTATACGTTATAGATTTGGAGTAAAAAGTTAGTGGAAACACAAGAAAATCAATAATCATACGATATTCGTTTGAATAAACTTTCTGAAAATTTTAAACCCTTTCAAGTTCAAACCAAACTCACCATTGGTTTTATTGGCTTGATAAATTAAGTTGATAGGGTCTGATATTTGTTTTACTATTTGTTTTATAGATGTACTTTTTCATTCACTACAGCTATGTATATATTTCATTTAGTCTTTAGTACTTTTCTCACGTTTTATACTACTTGTGTTATATATGCGCATACCGTGTTTTTAATAGGGACAGGTTGTCCTTAATTTGCAACTTCTCTTTCTTTCCAGGCTGCAGGTGTAGATGAGGTGAATGAATGGGTTATTGATGAGACCAAAGGGCTTATAAAACCGCTTCTTCTTAGGAATGCCTTTGACAATAAATATTTAACCCTTATCCATGCGAATGGGCTTTATTTCAAAGCAACCTGGGAAAACGAGTTTGAGCCATCAAATACACGAACGGAGAAATTCCACCTTCTTGGGGAAAAAGTGGATGACCCACCTGTCGTCGAAGTACCATTCATGATGAAATATGGAAGCACTTACGCACACGCTTCCTTTGACGACTACAATGTTCTTAGGATGCCCTATAAATCAGGGCATGGAGATAGGAAATCACGAAGACGTTTCTCCATGACCATCATCCTCCCGAATGAAAAGGGTGGGTTGCCAAAACTAGCCGACAAAATGAGACAAAACCCTCATCTCTTGTCTTGCAAGCACATGCTAAATATGGAGTATGAGATGATTTCTATCTTACAGGTTCCGAAGTTCACTTTCTCTTATCGTTTTCTACCATCAGAGACAATGAAAGAGTTAGGGCTAACATTGCCTTTCAAGGATTTGGAATTTGACCTTACCGGTATGGTGGAAGAAATGCCACTGTTTGTCTCAAGAATCACACAACATAGTCAAATGGAATGTGATGAGGCAGGTACAAAAGTGTTGAGTGTAACCTATGACTCAGATGAGGAATGCGGCTTAGGCTTGGATGATTCACCGTCGCCACCACCGATCAACTTTATAGCCGACCATCCATTCATGTTTGTCATCAAAGAAGATGTGTCTGATACCATACTATTTCTTGGTGCAATAAATAATCCTCAACTAGTGGGATGAAGCTCAATATCATTCCAATTTTATCGGATTTCATAATAAAAGCCATAGCTATAATTGTCGGAGTTTGTAGCTCTAGCATAGAACTAGATTATTTCAATCTCAATTTATCATAGGAGACAATAACTATGGGCATATAGCCAACAATTTTAGTCCAATATAATGTTAGTCAAATTAATATGTATTGTTGTTGTTGTTGTGATGACGATTATAACTGCTTATTACAGAATATTCCCCAAATAAGACTGAACCAGATAAAATAGACAAAATTATATGTTTTCGTAAAATAGTTAGAACTCATTCATCAGTAATTGGGGAAGTTACGTGCTTTTAATCTACATGTAAAAAATAAGTATGTTCTATTTTGAGAACAAAATATAATTAACCTTGTATTTGTGTATTTTGTCTGTATTTTAATATTATTTGAAATATGGAGTAACTTTCTTTTATTAATATTGTTCTTATTATCACCTTCATCATGATTATTTTTATTAAAACACTCATATATGGTAATGTTGTATTACGATATACATCTTTTGCGTACTACATACGGAATATATATGATTTATTAAGGTCCATATTGCGACGACCCAGTTGTTAAATGCTTCTATATATTTTTTATGTTAATCTTGAAATGGTAATTTAGTGGTTCTATTTGAAAATTAAAGATCTCGGCTAAGGGAGTGCTTGCAAAAAATTAAAAAGTGATTTTTAAGTGACATCTTCTAATTAAATTAAGTATTTAAAAGCTAAAAGCTAAAAATTGGTGGGAGTGGTTCTATTTTTCACTTTTTCTATTACCCAAAAAATAATTTTTTTTAAACACTATCAACTTTTACTTTTTTCAGAAGCATTTTTCTAAAACACAACAAACTTTCACTATTTAACACTTTCTCAAAAATCACCTTTTTAAAGTAGAAGTAATCACAAACATTTCCTTAGTATTTTGACTTGCTCACAAAATGATAAGAGGGTACATGTAGGGGTGGGCAAAATAGTTTGGTTTAACCGGATCGAACCAAAAGTTAGTAGTTTGATTTTGTTTGGGTTTACTTAAATAAATCATTTGGTAACAAATTGCTCAAACCGAATGACTTGGTTTGGTTTGGTTTAAAACCGAACAACAGTAAACCGAACCGAACACCGAGCAATTTATAATATACTACGTATATAATTAAAAATACTTTTTGTATTTATATTCACTCTTCATCTTTAGGATATAAATAAATATGTTAGATATGAAAAATACATGCATGTGTAGCATATATCATTTTATCTTTCACACATTCAATTCTATACAATAATTATGACAAAGTTAGCTAATATTTGTATTTGTTATATTTTGTACTCTACCTGTATAAAAAGATGTTTGGCGATAACAATAGAAAATGACATTTATATTTTATACATGATTCATTTGAATGAAATTGTGAATTTTAGTGATATTATAAATGCTAATTAACTATGAATTTATTTTTTGTGAGAGGTGAATCTTTTTTCTAGTGATCGAAAACATGCTAAATGATTTAATGTCATCAGTCTTAGTAAGATAAATTAGGTGTTAATTTATAATATTTCATTATTTCTTTTCCTATCTTGTATTTCTCTTTACATCTTATTTAAATAATGAATGCAAGAAGATGAGATGGACTACTATTTTTATTTTCTAATTCTTGATAATTCAAGGATTCAGAGGTACGATCCTATAGAACAGATCCTATTCAAGCTAAGTAAGGTCGTATTTTCTAATTCTAAAATATTGATGAACTTGATCAAATAAAATAAGAAACACAAGGAATCGAATCAAATCGTACCTAATAATTTTCACTTTGATAAACCAAATTCAAATCGAACTGGAACAAAACCGAAACCAAACCGAAACCGAACCTAACATTTCTGTTTGGTACAATATCTCCCAAACTGAATAAAGCGAAACCGAAGTGAATTTCAAAATAGAAGTAATATACTTTGTTCTCTAAATAAGAATAATCAATGACAATTTTAGATATTATTAATTTTTAAACATAGACAATATTGTGTACAAATGAGTCCTTACTGTGTATTTACCTAGGCGTTGCCCAATGGCTCGTATTGAGGTTGTTTGAATACGTACTTAGTAAGATGTATATTTTCTTCCATAAATAAATAATTCATCCCGGGTCATATAAAACTTCTATCTTCGTTGTGAATAGTAACATAATTAAAGAGAAGGGATAAAAAGTAACATTGACATTTTACTCCACCAAAGTTTAGCCTGGGGTTGTATAAGAATTGAACCGGATACTTGACAATATTATTTGTATTCGTATAATTATCGAATCTTCGTATTCCTATTCGTTTAATATTCAAATCTCATTTTGTATTCGAATTCGATATGTTTAGTTACAAAAAGAAAGTAATGGTATGGTTACAATATTTCAATTAATTTCGTAGAATTTAAATTTATGGGAGAATTGCATTTTTAGTCCTCTAACTTTTAGCTATGCCCGTTATTAGTCCACTTATTTTACTTGGTTGCAAATTTGGTATTGTATCTAATCAATCTTTGCGATTTAAGGACTTTTACACATTAAATTCACTAGTGGAAAAACATCAATTTGCACCACATCAATTGCGGCGGTTTTATAATAAACGCCACAGATTAAAAAAAAAATATCGAATCGAGGCATGCGTGGCGGTTGGCAATTTCAATACCGCCGCCTATATTTTATTATATATTTTTTATATATAGGCGGCGGTCATTTTTAAAACAACCGACGCAAAACTGAGAAGGAAAAAATTAACCGAAAATTTTCCATACGCGCGGCGGTTAGTAAGAACCGCCGCATATATGCTGCGTGTGACACCGCACCCGAATGTACTTGAAATTTAAAGACGATGTGTATTTGCATTTCCAAACGAATAAAATTCGTGGAATTGATTGACATATTTAATTAATGTGCGATTGATTAAATTATTTATCGGGTCCATTATACGAGAATGGACTACCAAATATTTAGTTGGGTTATCATAATAATTATAGAAGCCCAATAAAATGCCAACCGAAGTTGATAAAAATATTTGGACAACCCGAGCGCTATTTTGACCCGACCGGCCAGAAATAGCAGAAATAATTGGGAGGGACTTCCTACACCCACTTGGGATCTTTCCCACATGGGTTGTAGACTCCAAATGATGGAATGAGACAACAAAATATGGGGTGGGGCGGACTCATGCAAGAGGGGATGTTTGGAGACAAAACCCACACCCCTCATTGACTTACTCTCATTATTTCTCACTTGGTTGAGAAGGAGATATCCCATCCTTCATCCTCAACCATTCAACCAAAGCCAAGAGAGGGAGAGAGAGCTCTAGCAAGTTTCACACGAGCTCAAGGAAGAAAGAAGACCCCAGGAGAAAAGAATAGTTTTTGAGGTAAGAACTCCATAAACATTCTTTAACTAGTTTTGTGTTGTATGATTTTTGAGAAATCATATGGTGGATTAAATATGAAGTTCTACACGTTTAAAAGTGTAGAATAATGTTATAAAGTGGTGGTATTTAACTTAGGAGAGTTGGTGAATCGATAGGAGTCGAAACCGCCGGAAACCGCCACTCCAAAGGAACTGTTCGTAGTTGCAGACTACGAAAGCCGCCCGGCTTTTGGTGAAAGCCGCCCGGCTTTGGGCTACTGTCCAGGATTTTTGCCTTCAATCGGCCTAGAACGGGGATTGATCGAGGGACTTAACAAAGGCAACTATTGTAGCACATCACAAGGTGAGGATGGCTGACTATATTGCTTATAATCTTTGGGTTAATTTCACAAGATTACCTAAAGTAATTAAATGTGATTTTCATGGATTATTAATGATTAATAATGCCTAAATGAAAATATCATTGTTTGTGAATAGAAGATGCATAACATACAAATTTATGATAAATTGTGTATGATGATGCATAATAAATGTGGAGGTATAATGATTGTATAAACCATGAATTTTTGTGATAAAATATACTTTTACTTCATGTATAGAAATCATGAATGGATAAAAGTGATATTTTTGATATTGAGATTAAATCGTATACGGATTAGAAAATCCATAGGAATGAGCCTTATAACTATGAGTTAAGGAGCTTGGCTGTTTAAAGATTTATGGATTAGTATTTAATTTACTAATCGGGAATGTTGTATAAAAAGTGATAGAACAAATCCTAAGGACTTGGATTGTGAGAGATGCACCTTAAGTAGTCTTATGAGATGCCTTAAGGTAGAAATGGGTAACCACTAAGTTACATTAGGAGTAGGCCTCACTGGCTACTCACGATTGAGGAACTCTAGGCATAGAATTTGCTAGTGAGTTAGTGTCGTGACTAGAGGAAGCCTCTAGCACGATTGAGAATGACTGGAGGAAGCCTCCAGCATTCGTGTAGGACGACTAGAGGAAGCCTCTAGCGTAGTGTAGGATGACTAGAGGAAGCCTCTAGCATAATGTAATGTGACTGGAGGAAGCCTCCAGCACAAAGTATGTACGGTGATTAGAGGAAGCCTCTAACACCGAATGTAGTGACTAGAGTAAGCCTCTAGCACGGTGAAACATGACTAGAGGAAGCCTCTAGCATGGTAAATAAATATAGATGGGCGTGACTTGAAGCCACGGGGAAAGGGTTGAACGTTTTCAAAGAAAACATGGGTCTTCGGGCCGACTACTTGACTTTATATATAAAGTAAGTATATTTTCAAAGAGGGTAACCACGGGTTATGACCTATAATATATTATCACCCTATTTGAGGGTCTTGGAAATTGAAGCTTTGATTATACTTAGTATAGTTGTCATTGTACTTGTCAAATGCTTCCAAGTACTGACCTCCCCTTCACGGGGGAGGCCACCTCACAGTTTCAGGTAGGACTTGAAGGTTGCTACCGCCGCCGTTGCTTTGGGGAGGTTCAAGGAAGGAGACGTGGTTCGTGCTTCTTCCGTTCCTGTTTTGAAAACATTTTTAAATAATGCTCATGGATACTATTTGAATATTTATTTGGGCTTGTATGCCCGTGTTTGCCACGTGTGGCTTGGATATTTGAATTAATGTTTCCGCTGCTTGATTTAATATTACATTATGATTGTTTATGGATGTGCTATTGTGAATGATATTCATGACGCCTTGTATGGTATGGATGAGTTGGACTGCGGTTGACTATTCGTACTGTACGGCGGGTTGTTGACGTGTCCGGTAGGTCCGGGGCGTGACA